TTGTAACAAAAAAAAAGAACTAATTATTTCCACCCCCCCCCCCCCCCGCAAATCGAATTCGCATTCCTGGTTGGTTCATTCCACATAGAAGAAAAGATGAAGATGATTCACGCTCCTTAACAATGTATATATAATTTTCTTTGAATAAACGTTATACATACAAATTTTTTAGTATTTTTTTCGGCATGGAACGCATTATCGTATTTTACATTAATTTATATGGGAAAATTTGTTTCGCATTACGAGTAAGTTTCTGGAACGAATTGTGCTCGTCAAGCTAGTTTCATACTAGACTGACCTATTCGTGATGCAGTTGACGTCTTTCGATTAATTCTATCATTTTCCATCATTTAAATACTTTTACATGATTGCCTCTGCCGAAAATTTTCATTCGGTTGCCCTCATTTGAATTAATATCCAAACTATACCCGACATTCTCCCCTCAAATCAGAATATTCTACAGTGCCAAAAAACCACGGATCACTACCTACGTTCTCCTGTTTCACATGGGAAAAATCTGCAGTGCTCTCAGTGCCCTCAGTGCTGTGTTGAACTCATGGAAGCAAACTATGTCGAACGGCGTGTCTCGGACCAGCATCTTTGGTATTCAAAGATGTGACATGATTGGTTGTTGGAGGTTGTGGTGGAAATTTCGTTATATTTCCTTATAATTATTTCTTGTGCTAATCGAAGTTAGAAATCTGTGTGCAGTATGCTATTGCAGGTAAAAATATGAATAAAGCAGGTTGTTTCGTGGAATATGCATATACAGGTTCTTTTAGATATATATTGTAACGTCACAGACGAGGACTGTCACGTTAAACATATGTTTGAAGGGAAACGGCATATTTTACATGCCAAGTATTTGACCGTAAAAATCCAGTTTCACGTGAAATGTTAACTGCATAGTTACAAACGTGTGTACGTAGACATCGTTATCTCTTCACTTCCCACCACAGAAATATCTTTGTTCTGTGATATGTTAACAGTTTGTGGTAGAAGTTTGCAATTTTGTAGCAATTCTACATAAAGTATACAATATTTTTAAACATATTCTTCTGTAATTCCTATTTTATGGTCAGATAAAGGTTAGTAATACGTAGCAGTTTCAAGCTTGCACACGTGTAATATACATAGAATAATAAAAATAAAAAAGACCTTAAACTTAAAAATAGTCTTATTTTTAAAACAGGCAGTAGTGAAGCATTGAAATGCACTATGTTAGGACCAGCTAACACTTGGAAAAATAAGATAAAATGGCATTTTACAGAGTCAAAGTCAGAGTTAGTTTACCGCTGGTCAGTACTTGGCGCCAAGCCCCTTGAGACCCACGAGCAGAGATTTTTTCTTTCAACCGAACCCTTGCTGTAATAGTCCTTATGGAACATTCTCTCTGATGAAAAATGGGTTTGTCTCTTATGAATATGATTGACCTTGCATAAAATGTGCATTTTGCACATATAGCATATGGTTCATTAGTACTATATATACTGGTAGGAGAAACAGTCAAATCTGTTACCTCAAGCCCAGTGAAAGCAGTGTTAGCCAGCTCCTCTAGACCTACACTAGCTATTTGTTGGTGAAGGCACAATTGTAAGGGACATGATACAGTGTAGACATGAGAGGAAGAGAGAATGTATGGGATTCCAAACTACCGTGTTAGTCAAACAAGGAAAATTAATACACTCCAATTGCTTCATCACAGAGCATGCAAGCAATTGAAGCAAGCAGGCAAAAGTGGGATGGAAAGAAATATCAGGATACACTTCAAGATGGTGACAACGCCTACTGGTCCAAAATAGTGGAAGAATTTCAGTATGTTTTTAACAGGAAAGCACAACAGGTTTGAAAAGGTTTAGTTAGAAAGTGAGAGCTGCTCACAGGAAGATAAAGAAAACTCAGAATTTTCAGCCAAGAGACATTGAATTTCTGTGATTAATAATGTTTAAGCACCTTCTTATTACTGGGTGTGCTATAAAACAGTCAAGACTATGAAAGGGCAGTTGACCAGTCAGTACTCAGAAAAGGTTTCTAGCTACTGCTTATGAGTTGTTATTCAAATTGTATGGGCTGTATTTTTATTTTCTTCTGAAAACTGAACTTTCCATTATTTATTCATCAAAAGAACTTTTAGAAAGTAATATTTTAGACCTCAAATCTCAATACAGCATTAACGTAAGTCACAGAATTACATGCTTTGTTACTAACCATTCCAGCAGCCAGTATATCGTGATCAGTTATTCTCTGCTTTGAAGAGGGTGCATACTTATCTACATAGCATGCAGGCTCAGGAGACATCAAGTTGTTATTAATGACAACTGAGAGAAAATTCTTTAAGACATAAAAACAGTCTGAACTTGTACAATGTATATACCAAATTTAACAAATTTTTCAGTCTCTCTTTTCCTCAGGATTTGGCCAACACTTTTGAAAAGTAATGCTCTTCCACAGAAAGCAATCCTTTTCACCACTGTATGAACTGTGTGGCTTGGCTCTGGTAATATTTTATGCAGTGACTGAAGTAAAGTAATACAGTGAAGTTTCTGTCTCCCTTCTGCTGGTTACTGATAGCTTTTTGTTGAGAGAGAACTTACCTTATGCAAGTGTTACTCTTTCCAACAAGCAGAAAAACCACCGATATAAGTATGTTCCTCCTTGCATACAACTATAATCATTCCAGTTTATTTGGTTAAATTTCAGCTATTCTAATAAATTAGTATGGGTAGTTGTACATTTGCAGAAGCTCCCATTGATCCCAATTCTATTTTCCTGCGCTTTTTAATATTTGGTGTGATGACTACTAGTAACATTACCACATCTTAAATTCTTCCATTAACTGAGTGATGTAGCCCTGCTTAACTGTATTGTGTGTAGATATGTAGCATAGTCTAAACTGTGTAGTCATGGCCTGCACACTTAGAAATGAGTAAAATGTTGATAATGAACTTCATAGAGTGATAACACATACTTGCACTCTTGGGCCTGAAATTTCTTGAACGATTACTTGAAGGTCAAATGATCTACACAATTCACAATTAAAATACAAAATGGCTTGTTCTTATCCTGTCGTTTATAGAGAAATTCCTGTTGGGGATTACAGGGATTTACAAAACACAGGTTCTGTATCACTACTGTCATGAGTTGTTGAGGTTATGCTGGTAGTGGGAGTGGTGATAACGGTGTGGTGTTGGTCATGATCAGTGTACCTTCTTATTACTGTGCTATCCAAGCAGGTAACCAAGTATTCTAAGCTGTTTAAACTCAAAACAACCAGTGTGGATTTCTTTTGCAGGACATATATACTATTAGAATGTACATTCATATCTTTGAGTTATAATATTAATGATTCAGTTATTCTACATACTAAATTTAGCAAAATTGCTTAAACATCATAGAATATTGTACAAATGTGGCCAATAGGGTATCATTCATAGTTTCTTGAAGCTTTGCTGGAAGCTTGTCATGCCTGTCTTCATTTGCTGCCCAGTGCTTATAGGCCCATGCTGCATCTGTGTTGATTTATCCAGATGAAATGTGCAACTTGATTCTCATGAAGGTGTTGTATTTTAGCGTCCTGTTGCACTGATTCATGTCCATGATGTGTATGTACTGACCGTCTTCTAGTGCACACAATCTCACTTGTCACTTCACTACATGTTTCGGCATCACTGTGACATCCTCAGGTGTTTCATTTACATTAAACTATTGCACTGCTCGCCATCATGTGTCGTTTATAAAATGATTTAAAACGTATATTCGTCATGTACTATATTAAAATTTTGTTAAGATTTATCACCTTATACGTTGTATTTCAAACTCCCGTATTATATCACTCTTCTGCTATGGGAGTCGTTCTGCCTATATTTTGTGTATACTGCGTCTTGTCATGTGTCCTTCTCTTGTGGCTGCGTGTGTGCTGATCGAGGCACTGTTCATTGTGAGGAGTGGCAGCTGAGCAGGGACGCCCAGGGCGTGGCTTGTCATGCACTTCACTTTCGCCATTGTTGAAACGCACTACCCACTGCCTCACTGTGCTGACATCCAATGTATCGTCTCTGTACACCTTTAGCAAGCATTGATGGATGTCAATGTGTGCAATTTGTTCGGCAGTGAGAAATTCAATAACACATCTCTGTTTCATACGCACTTCTATTGGTATGCCATTTTGGTAGACTGCTCTTCTGTCGCTATCTGTCGCACAACAACCAAACTAACAGTACATTGGCGAGAAGGTTCAACCTTTACTACAACACCACCAACATCCAGCTCAGACTTTACAGATTAACACAAAAAAATAGGAGGCATTATATACGGAACGCCCTTCATATATGCAAATTAGAGAGTTCAGAGTATGTGAACATTGTGTGAAGTAGGGTTCTGCCAGTCCTGAAACCATGGTACATCATACCTTGTGTAGATATCCCAGCGATTAAAACTTCTGTGACTTCAGTGGGGTGTCCCGTGACACTTCTAGGGGCCAATGTTCATAGATGAACAAATTCAGTTCCAGGAGTAACAAACGTTTTCATATAATTGTATCTAAATGATGTTTATTGTCTTATAACAAAGGTACTGAAAAAGTTAAAAAAAACTCATTTGTAATAGGTTGACATTAAGCAAGAACAGTGTGTGTGTTATTCTGTTAATTTCTCATAAATTTAACACATTTTGTTTCCTAGTCTTTGTGGCAGCAGAGGAACTGTCTGCTGTGGGCGAGACTTCTACTGGATGAAAAATGGCCATTTCTCCTCTTATAGTTCTTGGAAATACTTCCACACTTGATGTAAATTTATATGCTGTATGATATCTTAAGGGACATTTTAATGTGTTTCCAGTGTTAAGCGTGCAATTTTAAGTTACTTACATGGAGAATCAGAGCCTGCTTTTAATGTACACCATTACTTTAGGGTCAGATGTGTTTTGTGAGAACATTGTATTTTGCTTGATGACGTTTTCCACTCTTGAAGTTTCACTTTGTATTTTTTACCCTGTTCTCATGTTATTGTTGATTTTTATTACATTTTATTATAAAATTTATATTCTTTATACCTTCCTTTCTTTCAGTGCTGGCCTGTAATTGGCTTGAATTGCTGTTACTGTTTCTGTTGCTAGAACAGTAAAAGCAACTTGCTTTATAATTTAACTGTAATGTTACAGTGAATGGCTGTATCATATACATGATAATGGCAGGACAGCTGATTCAGTATATTGTTGTCCGTGCAGACTTGTTGAAAACTCTTAACTGGCCTGTGGGAGCGGTAATTGCTCAGGCTTGCCATGCTTGCTGTGCTGTCACCTATCTCTTCCGTAATGATCCTCACACAGAGGAGTACCTAAAGGACCTCGATAATATGCACAAAGTTGTGCTAGAGGCAAGTATTCATGAGTTTAACATTTGTAATACCCAGTGTTTAGTGGTTATGGCACTGTTAAATGTTTTTCTCTGCAACTCATACCATTTCTAAAAGTGGATGTTACTTAGTTTTTCATCTCTGTGTATTTGTAAAGCTAATTATTTTTACTGTTGTCTGAGATGTGGTTCTGTGCAGTGTGGTAGAGTGTTACCAGTTTTTTTTTTTAGGAACCCGCTTCCCTGTGTTCATGGTATCTGAGCAACACTGGGAATCGCTGCATTGCAGCTGGTTCTCTGAGACCACAGCACTGAGTGAACCAGTAGGAGTATTATTATTATTGTTGTTGTTATTATTATTATT